GCCATGTCGGCCCAGAGCAAAGCAGAGCCTGACAGCTCCTTCGAGACCAATGGGCTTTGTTCCAGGGCAGCTCGGGAACTGGTCTCCGGCCATTGACGAGAAGGGCAGCTGCCGCGGGCAGGCTGTGCCCTGGGACCCAGGCCCCAAGGCCCTACCCAGAGCCACTCTGCTGAGGCTTCGGAACTGTCCAGCAGTTGGCCAGCTGGTGGCATGGTGGCTTAGGAGACAGGATCCCATCATGGCCAACTGTGAAGTTCGAGTCTTGGACCTGGTGGCTTGAAAAACATACCAGGCACATGAGCGTGTGTGCCCAAAATCCCGAGAGGAGAATGGAGAAGTTGCTGCTTGGCCATCCCCCTGGGGCTGCTTTCTCACTTCCCCCCTCTCTGTCACTCCCTCTCTCTTCCCAGTGAGTGCCTGTGCTCTGTAGGAAATTTATAAAGAACAAGGAAAAGTAAAGAACTTTCCAGATGGCCAGGAGAGCTGGCCAGGAGCGAGAGGAACACAAGCACCCCTCCTGGTCGTAGTGTGGGCGGCCGTGGGTCACGATCACCTACTCCCGACCTCAGGCCACCCCCATGACAGACCGGGTGAAGACTTCGCAGCAGCTGGCTGGCCGACAGAGTGGGCGCTGGCCTGCCTGCTCCCAGAACCGGGGTTCAACCCAGACGCAAGAAGGGGCCGGGCTGCCAGGAAACGGAGACCACCCGGCCTCCTGGGGCAGCAGCCAGCTGAGGTGGGTTGGGGCGACCCTGGGACAGAGACGTGTCTAAGCCCACACCATCGCAGGTCCATGGATTCCTCCTCCACCTCAGAAAGCCCTTCTAGGAATCGAATCCCCTGTGGGAAGGGCGAGCTCCACGCAGCAGTCCTGCAGCTTCTCCTCGGTCTCCCTCCCTTCCTGAAGGCCCAATCGGCCTCGTATTTCCCAGAGCAGAGCATGTGCAGGGCAGTCTTGGGCACAGAGTGCCAGGACCATGACGGCTCCTAGAAGGCCAGGTCTGGATTCGAACCCGGGCCGCCTGGTTTCAGTGGCCACTGACTTGCACGTGGGCGTGGGGTTTCCTCTGACCACACGCCCAGGAGAATGTCCGTCCAGCGGCCCGGAGCTGCACTGCTGGGTCCCGAGGGCCTGCCCTTGCTGGGCTCTCCTTCTGTGTGTGCCTTCTGTACCTGCAGAGGGCAGCCACACTTGCTGAGGACAGAGAGAGCACCTGTGGTGGGCGTGGTCACACTGCAGCCCCTTCTCCACCCCATCGGGGTCTGGGGCACATGTGCACGCATTCCTGGCATGTTTCCAAACTGTTGAGGCCGGGACTCGAACCAGTTGGCCGTGTGAGATCTGGATCTGAAGGCTCAGAGTTAACCACTGTACTGGAAGGCCGGCTCTGTCTTATTTTTTAAAAGCCATGTAAACAATGAGCCTATATCATTATTTTTAAACTTTTATTAAGAGGGGCCAGGAGGTGCCATGGTGGCTAAGGTACTAGACTCCCACACGGCCGACTGCGGTTCAAGTCCTGGAACTAGCAGCTTGCTTGCTTGCTTGCTTGCTTTCTCTCTTTTTCTCTCTCTTCTTGTCTCTCTCTGGTGAGCCATGTGCCCTGTGGCAAATGAAGGAGTGATAATAATAATTATTATAAATAAAATTAAATAAATATGTATTTTTAATTGGGCCAGTAGGTGGTGTGGAGGTTAAGGCACTGGATCCCATGTGGCAAACTGCATGGTTCAAGTCCCAGACCTGGCAGCTTGAAAATCACTCTGGGTGTGTGTGTGTGCACACCCCAGGTCCCAATAGGGGAATGAGAATGAACTGCGGCATGGCCATCCCTCTTGGGAGTGATTTCTCACTTCTTCTCTCTCACTAGTACACACACCCGACTGGGGGAAAGAAAAAAAGATGCAATCCACAGACCAGCAGTGGCCTGGTGGTTAAGGGAGATGGATCCCACGCGGTCAACTGAGCAGTTCAAGGTCCAGATCTGGTGGGACATGCCAGGTGCATGTGTGTGAGTACCCAAAACTCCAAAAGGAGAAATGGAGAGGGGATTGCGGTGTGGCCATCCCCCGCAGGGGGCTTCTCACTTTCTCTCTCTCTGTCTCTCTCTCTCTCTATCTCTGGGGTGATTTCTCACTTTTCTTCTCTGTCTGTCCCTCTCTCTCTCTCCCTCTCTCTCTCTTTCTCTCTCTTTCTCTGTGTCTTTTGCCAGCAAGTGCAACACCTTCTAGCAAAATTAGAAAGTAACAAACATAATTCACACGCCATATAATTCACTCATTTAAAGTATACAATTCAATGGCTTGGTGGAATATTGCATTATTATGTATTTTTTAAAGATTATCTTATTTAACTTTATTTATCTACTCATTTTAATTTGACCAGAGAGGGACACAATGAGAGAGAGAAAAAGAGAGAGAGAAAGTGAGAGAGCAAGCCACCAGGCCCAGGACTCGAACTGCGGTCAACCATGTGGGTGGGAGTCCTGCTCCTTAACCACCACGCCATCCGCTGGCCCTCCTTCCTCTTTAAGACTGCACAGTAGTTACTGTGTGGCCGGGTCACAGACGGGCACGCGTGTGGTTCCCACTTGGCCTGCCGTGGACAGGGGCACGAAGATCTGCTCCAGCTCCTGCTGCCAGTCTCCTTGGGAACTGACCCCAAAGTGAGGTTTCTGGATCATACTTTTTAAAATAAAAACAATTCTTGCTAAGCCTGATCTCAGATCTCAGTCGGCCACTGGAGGTCAGTGCACCCTTCCATCCTGCCCCTCCCCGGCCTATGAACATGCAGCCCCACAGGCTGGGGGTTCCTCTGAGCTCCTGAGCACGCCGTGGCACTCCGAGCCTCCACCTGCTCTTTGGGGCCGGTGAGGACTGGCCACCCTCAGAGCCCACCGCGGAGCTTGGGAGCAGGCAGGCAGCATATCCAGTGTGGGGCAGTGCTCTGCATGCTCGGGGAACCTCATTAGACCTTCGGAAGGTTCAGAATGTGCCGGCCAGTTCCTCTGTCCCTCCTGTCCACTGTCTGTGGACACGGCACCTCTGCCACGCACATCATCATACAGACATGCACACTGAGGCTCAGAGGGCCACTCCCTGAGAGCCAGGACAGGGCCCAGCTCCCTCAGCTCAAATGGTGTCCTCGCCAGCTTCTGCGGCAGTCATGGAGGCCAAGCGCCAGAGGGCTGCAGCCCGGTTCTTCCAGGTGACAGCGAGAGTACTGGGGTTGGTGACAAAGGAGGGGGCAGAGAGAAGTCGCTCACTCACCGTCATCCTCTCCCAGCACCCCTCAGCTCACCATCCCAGACCCACCTGCTTAAACACTGGGGCAACGCTCTGTCCTGCCTCCCCTCGATCCTGGCCGTAGCTCTGCCCTCTGGGCCCAGAGGTCAGCCCCCACAGCAAAGCCCGCCAGAGAGCCCACCCCTGCCGCCCTCTTCTCTTCTCGAGGCACACACACCCAGCACCTTCACTCCAAGCCAAAGGACACCTCCCTAGTGCCGGGCTAGGACAGGGCAGAAGTGGCATCTCGGCCTCTCACCTGGGGAGCCACACCTCGGGGCTCTGGCCCACCTGGTCTCTTGCAAACTCCTGCAATAGCTACGTCTAGAGCCGTCTAGAGTCCCCTGCTGTGAGGTGTTTTTAACGGACTTTGTTTTCCCAAGACTCAGTCCTGTGCCATGGGGAGCCAGGAAAGATGTCCTCTCAGAAAAGAGGCCCTCGGGGAACTGGCGGATGGCGTAATAGTTGCATTGCTGGACCCCCATGTAGTCGACTGTGGTTCGAGTCCCTGACTGGGTGGCTTGCCACTCACGCCAGGCATGTGTGCATACATGCCCAAAATCCTGAGAGGAGGATGGAGGAAAAGGCAGGGTGGCCATCCCCTTGGGAGGTGATTTATCGCTTTCTGTCCCTCTGTCTCTCTGGCAAGTGTACATGCCCTGTAGCAAAAATCTCTCTAACAATAAAGATAAGAGGCCTTCAGGGGCTTCTCCCAGAAGTAGAGTCCAGGTGGCCCCAGGTCAAGCCCCCGTGGGCCCAGGGGTAAGTAGGCACACTCCCCCCCAGAAGGCTCTGCAAGTCCAAAGCCCACGTGGGAGAGCTGCGCTGCTAGGCTCCTGCTGGGCCAGGTGTCTGAGGCAGGTGGAGCCACCAGCCAGGGCACAGTGAGAGGCCCCCCTCGTGGACGCATGCGCCCGCCACCCAAGGACAGACACCATCCGTGTGTCCTGCTGGGGAAGGAACCCCAGGACAGGGCGAGGCCCCTCTGCAGGGCAGAGGACCTGGACGCCTCCCTCCTGGCTGAGCATCAGTTTACCTCCTTAAAAGTGGCTCAGGTATTATCTTCTGTACTGGACACGTCAAGCCTTTTGCTATAGGGCGTGTGCGCTCGCCAGACAGAGAGAGACAGAGAGACAGAAAGGGAGAAATCGCTACATGGGAGTCCAGCGACACAGCCATTATGCTAACTGCTGGTCCGGACACGTCAAGCCTTTTGATCTTAGGCCCGCCCCAGGACCTCCCCCAGTGCCATCTGTCCCGCCCACTCTGGTCCGCTGGCTTCGTCCAGGCCTGGGTCCACAGCGCTGGCCGCACCTCCTCCTGGTCTCAGGGCCCTGGGGCCCGCCACAGCTCAGGCGGCCAGGATAGAGTTTTCTGTCCCAGTTCAATTCCCCCGCCTTTTTGATGTCACATCCTGTCCCAGCCTGCTTCCCC